GGGACACTTACCTAAAACCATAGCAGGTGGGCAGGGCTTACTGCTCAAAAAGGGGCATTGTACAGTAAGTCTTGGGGGAGGCCAGGGAGGTAAATTTCCTGGGAAAAGAGATCAAGGTACTGAGTGGCCCTGGTGCTCAGGATGTGTTTGTGCTGTGATGTGCACATGTACTTTAACGTTTCTGGGTTGAATTTCTTTCTTGTTTTCCTCTTGTGGGTAGATATGTATTTCTTTTTCTTCTTGCTGTTTCCATGACTAACACATTAATACTTGATAAGAAACAGAACCATTCTAATATCTTAAGCAGTCGAATTAGTAAAGGAGCAGCCTGGTGTGGATTTGTGAAGATCTTCCTGTGTCCCTTTACTATGCACCCTCTTTCCTGCTTTTCCTTCATCACCAAATGTTGAGGCTTCTTGTACAGCAGATACTTTTTAAGAGCCTCCTCCAAGGAAGGCCTATAGTACATGACAGCCAGCCATCTGGATCTATGGTGCCTCACCTTGGCAGCGAGAGTTGAGTGTCCTGTCCAGAGCTCACAGCTGAATCGTTGGTAACACAGTCAGATGAGTAATTTCTTCAGGTGGTGCTTGACTGACCTCAAACTTTATGAACCTCCTGTGTCACCCTCTCGCATTATTTGGATTACAGGTGTGCTCCACTGAGCCTGAGTTAGAGTGGAACACATTTCCAGATTGGTTCTAAAAATAATAATGAGTCCCGACGAATTGAAGTAACTGGGCAGAGGGAAAGATCCAAGCAAGGGTTTTTTGTAGCCAGAAAAGCACTAGGCATCCGTCAAGTAAATGAAGTTGTAGTTGAGGTTCCGCCTTGTCCCCACCTAAACTGAGCCATTTTGAAGGGCAGCAGTTGTGTTTGGGGCTACTTCATGACACTGTTACTTCACCACCACCACCACCACCACCACCACCCGTTAAAATGTTTAGTTATTTTGCACTTAGTTTTTTATTACATTGAATATAATATAATTGTTTTTTGTGGTGCTTTGTGGCACCTAGGAGTTGATGCATGCTATACACGAGTTTTACCACTTGAGCTTGCATCCCCAGTCCCTATAATCACATATTTGAATTTTTTAGAAAGAAGCAGTTATTATTAATATTGCCATCCAAAATAGCACTAATCTGGTGTTCTGCATTTGGATCAGATATCAATGTGAGTGTTTAAACAGTTTTGCAAAGGTGGCGATATATTCATGTACATACAGTCCATATGTGAAAAGGTACTTGTTTTCTCATTTTCAACATTTGTCTTCTCCACTACATGGGCAAGTCCTGAACTTAAGCAGAGACATACCCATCATCTCCAGCAATGATGTTACCCATCCCTGGACTTCCAACAGCCTGAGTTAATTAAAAGGTTCAGATGAAGTTAATCAAGTTTGGAACTCTAATTTTGTGCGGTGTTTGGATACGATTTGATGAGTCATCTTTTGGCAGAGCCATTTTCCATCCCTGACAGTGTTTGATCTTAACAGAATGGGTTTATAATGTGTAAACTGGTGGGGAAGTGCTTTCAGAAATAGAGTCAACAGTGATGTGTATGTGTCTGTCTGTCAGGAAGCTGCAGAAAGCAAAACGAAGGAGAATTTAATAAGCAAGAACTTAACAGGGGCTAGGGTCAGTCCTGGGACTGCTACACTTCTAGAACATGGGTTTCCTCCTGCCCCCTCCACCCCTGTTAACTGGAGGGCTGACATTAGAAAAAGAGTGACAAAGACGGCTTCTGATTGCTTTACTGCAAGTAAGTGACCTGACCGACTGGACCCCTTCCCAGTGGCCCTTGAGAGCACTTCAAATGTGAGGTATGTGGTTGTACCAGTCTGCTGGCCCTCATCCACACAAACTGCATCAGAAACAGGCCAGGGGCCTAGAGAACCAGCATGGCCAGCTGCTGGCTCCCTTCACCCTTTCTCTTAGTGCCATCTTCGAGATGAAGCTGGTTTTATTCTCTGAAGATTGACGGGCAAGATTTTATGTCACTGTCACCTCCACTGTACACCCACTGAACTAATAGTCTCAATGAATGCACCCATTGTGAGAGTTCAGGTCAATCTGGAAAATGCATCTCACGAAAATGTGCTCAAATGAGGGTTCTTCTGAAGTGGAGGACAAAGAGCTAGACCACTGAAACCCTTGTTCCCTAATGGAAGAAGGCAGGTCCACATTTACATTTCTGCTTTACTACTTCTTAGTAATTATAGTAAGCAGTCTCTTGATGTCTCTGAACTTGAATTTCCTTATTTATAAGGTTGATGATGATACTTACTGATCTCATGGATTATGACTGAGTGTTCATATTTGAAATGTGTTCAACGTAATGTATGGTACAAAACAAGTATTGTAACAGTCTGGGCTTTTTTTTTTTTTTTTTTGAGAATATCTTTCTAAGTTGCTTAAGCCCTTGTTGAGTTGGTATGGCTGGCCTCAAGCTTGTAGTCCTCTTGCCTCAGCCTCCTGGGTTCCTGGAATTACAGGCGTGCACTACCACACCTGGTTCCTGGAGCTATACTTTCTAACTAAAAGTTAAAAAATCTTGTGGTGAAGACTGAAAAAAATTACATTTCCTGGTCCCTTATGACAGTGCTTCTGTCCCAGTGACCCAGAAATGAGAGAATCTGTATGGGAGGCCACCAACCTGGGGCTCCTATTGCTATAATTCCAGACACGTGAAAGCAAGCATCCTCACTTGGTTTTCACTAAGCCACTTTGCCTAGGATTATGTGGTACAATCAGACTGGGATGGTCTTTGCCTCTATCATTTGTTGGGGCAGCACTAATAGCAATGCTGTATCTTGTTGCCCTGTCTTAGGAGTCATTGACAGAAATAGTAGCTAGCATTCTCAGACTCAACTGGAGTATTCTAGTTTGGCTGGACTAGCAGATTTCTGGGGGTCTTTATATAATGGGACAATACTAGAAAAGTCTTGCTACAAATTGAGTAACTGCCACCACTGCAGTCTTTTCTCCACCCAGACCCCAAATGCTTATTTCAGTGTATTTGTATACTGCAGATTGGATATAACCAACTCATCTGCAGAGTCAGAAGGTAGACTTGGATAATGGTGGAACAGTATTGGCCAGGATCCATATTGGATTTGAGTTGACTGCCAAGTATTCAGGAAGTAGTAAGGGTTCTGGAAGTTGTATCCTTGTAGAAGAGAACAAGAAGTATGAAGTACACCCAGGTCTTGCACCTCAAGCTGGGCATGGAGGTGCACTCCTATAATCCCAGCAGATCAGGAGGCTGAGACAGGAGGATCCTGAATTCAAAGGCAGCCTCAGCAAAATCAAGGCACTCAGCAACTCAGTGAGACCCTGTCCATAAATAAAACACAAAATCGGGCTGGGAATGTGGCTCAGTGGTCAAGTGCCCCTGAGTTCAATCCCCAGTGCCAAAAAAGAAAAAAGAAACTCACTCCCATGCTTACACATCCCGTCTGAAATAGCCTTGTGATTATAGGAGAAAGTGTTACTTGGGGATAAGGTTCACAGCCAGCTGACCTTCTGCCTTGGGAGTACACAGAAAGCAAGAATGTCTCTGTATTTGGGACACAGGACAAGGTGCAGTGGTAGCAGATGCCTGCATTGAGATCATTAGTATCCTGCTCCTGTCCATGTCTTTTTGCTTAGACTGAAAGTTCTTGCCTTGTTGGTGTCTCCACACACAGTAGCTCTTATTCAACACCATCATTGGAAACTTTCGTCTTATTCACAACCTTTAAACATCCATTTCTAGAGGTTGACATAGTTTTTGTATTAAGGGAGGTTCTGTTTGTAGAGATTTGTCTGTCCGATGAGTCAGTCTGAGTATTTGGCCTTTCTGGCTGAAGGCAGCAGTTTGAACTAATGCCTAGAATATGTGCCTCCCTCCTGATGTCTCCTCTGGTCATAATAGGACCTTTGCCCTCTGCAGGAAGCTTCTGCACACATGGAGCTCACTTGTTGCATCCTCAGGGAAGCCTCAACTTGACACCGCCCTACAGATGGTGTCAGACCCCCTTATATTTTTGCATCCTATTGTTCTATTGTGTAAGTGAAAAAAAAAAAATACTAAATGTAACATTTGTAGACCAGTATGGCTGTTAACCAGGATACTTTTTCCAAAGTTGACAGCACAGCTGAAGTTTTCAAAAATTCAAATTATATATAATTATAATATATTCAAAATATAGTATAATTACACATAAATATGTTTTTATTAATATTTTATATTTTGTATGTGGATATATTTGTAATAAAATGTTAATGTAAAAGACCAATAATAGCAGTATGTTATGCATCAATAGCAGTAACAACTTTTCCAAGTTCTTTAATCATTTGAACAAAATTTTAGAGACATCCAGCACACTTCATTAAAGAAAGGGACCTGGGCATAGTGGCACACACCTGTAATCCCAGTGACATAGGAAGCTGAGACAGGAGGATCACAAGTTCAAGGTCAGCCTCAGCAATTTAATAATGCCTTAAGCAACCTATCAAGATCCTGTCTCAAAATAAAAAGCAAGGGGCTGGGGATGTGGTCAGAGGTGAAGCACCCTTGGATTTAATCCCCAGCATCCTCCCCAAAACACACCAAAAGTGCAGTTACTAGTCACTACAGTGTATCATAAAGCAGGTACAAGAGACCAATGAGGATTGCTTGGGCTTTGAATACATAATGAGCAATAAGACCAACTAATTTCTACTTCCTCTGTTGTTTTTCTGGGTACCCCTCTTCCAGGTATCTCAGAATACCTCCCTGTTGTCCATCTCTGCAGCCATCTGCTGAGGTGGAGCTATGGGTATTTTTTTAATCTGTTGGGAGGGATGGGGAGGGGCAGACTGGGGGCTGCCAAGGAGAGAATGCTCAGCCCCTTCCCATCAGCTCATTACACACTGCTTCCTATAGGAAAAATACTTGTTTTGATAGTTGAGATCCGTGAATGTTCCTTATGAGAAGACTGTGTATATAAACTCTTGCGTTTTCCCCTTTGTCAGTGCTTCTGAAATTCCGCACGGATAAAGGAAGAGATCCTAGTTCTGACACCTACGGGGAAGATTCTGAGTTGCTGCTCCAGATACGAAACGATGTGCTTGACTCATTGGGTGTTAGTCCTGATTTGCTTCCCGACGACTTCGTCAGGTTTGTCTCAGTGTTTGTCAAGTTTGGCTCAGATGGAGAAACACCTGGTTTCCGCGTTTGCCTTAGTTTGGGGAGATTCTTTAGAGACTTCTAAAGCCCTGAAGAAAGCTCCCTATGCCACATTCTGCTAACTTCTATAGGCCTCTGCCTTTCCACTGGTGTAATAGTAGATAAAAGGTAAAAGAGGCACATGTTCTGTTTTTATCTTTTTATTTTAATGATCTTGGGGGTTGAACTCAGTGCTTATGCATGCTAGGCAAATGCTCTCCTACTGCACCGCATTCCTGGCCCTGAGGGTTCTGTTTTTGACAGTATGTAAAGATCTATTTATATGATTTGAAATTCAAGGCAGCTTTAGTAACAGTATTATACCTCTTGATTTTCACTATACATTTATCTCTTGGGAGACATTTTCATATCAGTGCATAATTTGCTCCCTTTTTTCAATATAGTGTTAGTGAACCTTGCTTGATGGAATTTTGTTCAGGGTTTTGTTCTCAGATGATGCTTCAGTGTGGGACCTTGTGCAGCTGCAGAATGAGTGAGTGGAAGGGGAACTTATGGTCCAAAATTGCAGTTCATTGTTTGGTAGACATTGCCACTTTGACCTCCATTCTAGCCTGTCAATTTGTGTATCGACCACCCAAGATGTCCATGTTCTCAGCACCCTAATCTTTAGCACTGAGGCGTTTTCACCTTAGGTCCCCCAGTCTTTTGCTCACATACAGTCAGGCTTGGGATTTGGTTAGAGAAGGTCACGTGGTGGCTAAATCATGAACTCCTTAAAAGCAATTCTGGGATCATCCCATTCTACTTCCCTTTCTTTGTCTCTGAGAGCTTCAGCAGCTTTGCTGCGCCCCTGGATCGTAGCATTGGTAATGATAGCTGTCGTCCATTACAATTTATCTAGCAGCTGCCACGCTCCAGGCATTAGTAGTTGCTTTTATAGACTGTCTCTCAGTCTTCTCAACAATGCGTTCTGTAGGTATGGAAATCAACCTCAGAGAAGTTAAGTGACTAGTCCAAATTTCTGTACCTATTACCAGTAGTATTTGATATTGGAGACTATATGCTTTACCTATTGTGTTACTGCATTGAATTATCTCATCAGTTATTATTTCCTCTTTATTTAAATGATGAAATCGTCTGAAAAAGATAGTCTTTTCACAAGGTTAACAGTAAAGTCAGTTAGTGTGTCCTCCTTTCTAAACTACCTATAGAGTTCTGAAAAAAAAGGCCATTGTATAAAATTGGATAGCAGTCTACATAAGGTGCTTCTGCAGTGTTAGCACCATGAAGTCAGGGCTGATGGCACTGCAGGCTTGGATGGGGTCTCTGTCTCTCACTAACTCAGCCAGGCACTCATTTCTTAGTGGAGGAAAAAATGCTATATAAGAAGCACAGAGAGGGGGAGGGGCTGGGGCTTAGCAGTAGAGCACACACCTAGCACGTGCAAGGGCCCTGGGTTCAATCCTCATCACTACATAAAAATAAATAAGTAAAATAAAGGTATTGTGTCCATCTACAACTAAAAACAAAAATATTTTTTAAAAAGAGGAAGAAAAAAAAAGCACAGAGAGAAGCCTACTCTGCTTCACAGAAGGAGGGAACTGAGTCAGACAGGCTTCACTTCAAACAGATGCACCCAGGAAGTCATCTGCAGGCTAAAGCCAGCCCACACACCTGGTGTCTCGTGCTGGGCTGTGAGGTGTACACAGCTGAGGGACTACTTTGGGTGTCTAGAGTGGTGAGCTGTCTGACTCTGTGGTGCCAGCCAGCATAGTTCTTCAAAGGCCCTGCTTTCCAGAAAAGACTAGCCACAGCTTAGGGAGCTGCTGGCTGGGAATTTCTGCCCCAGTGTTGTCTTTCCTTGCCTATCTTCTTCGTGGAAGTTGCTTCCCCCCCC